ACGAAATCATTATCCTCATGTCCCTGTTCATCTTGGAAATCCTGTACATGTGGAAGATCATGGAAGATGATGTTCATGGTGCGTTGAAATGTTGATGAGATGGGCTTGAGTCCAAAGGGACAACCGCGAAACATGAGTTGTGGATGACCGGGTACAGTGAATGCTGTCTTAGGGCGGTGTGGCTCATAAATCTCGAAACGGTGAAAAGCTTGCTTTAGATCCAATGTTGTAAAAACTGTAGCTCCATTAAGCTGTCGGAAGATGTCTTTGATGAGAGGAAGTGGATGACGATCCGGGCTGACTAGTAGTTTGTTGATATGGCGTGGGTCTAAGCATGGACGCTTGTCTGTGTAGTTGCCAAATAGATCTTTCTTAGGTGCTAACGTGAGAGGACTATTCCACATAGTGTGAGGTGGTGCTTCTTCAACAATACCATCACTCAACCACTGTTGTACCTGTTCTTTGATCGTGTCTTGGTATACGATGGGTAGCGTGTATTGTCTTCGATGAGAGACTACGCCTTCTTCCGTGTCGAGGTGTATAACCGATTCAGGTACGGTGCAAAATGAACGTGGTGGAATCAAAGCATTGCGATCGACTGTTGGTTGAACAATGTCAAAGAAAGCGTTACGTTGTGAGGAAGAGCCTGCTGGGGACTCGTTTGGTAGGGGTACGTCATTTATCTTTTCACTGGTGTTGGGTGGTTGCTTTTCCCACGCTACGGCAAGACCTGTGATACCAATTCCAAGCTTGGGCATAAGGTCAAGGCCAATGGTTACCGGTGCATCCCCTGATAATTCCATAACTAAAAAATCGTGTATACGTTGTTTGCCATCATATGTAATTGGAATGTTTTGTGCGAGACCAAATAATGTAGCTTCAGAGCCATTTTGTGCTAATCATACGGTTGTACTGCTAATGATATCTTTATTTAATACTGCATCAATTGTTTGGGATAATTTGGGTGTGATAAAAGAAGTGGTAGCGCCTGTGTCTACTAAAGCCATGACCCTTTCAGTCTTTATCGTTATAGGAACAAGTAAACATTGTGCAGTGTTAGTGTGTGCTGCTTTAGCAGTGTGTCAAGTGTGCGTACCAGTAATGTCCATCTTTTCAAGGTTGACAGGTAGAAGGTGGTCCAAGATAGCTTGATCACGAGCCGAAGATGTCTGGTTGACATGGATACCTCGATTGTGGACGACTTTTCTTTGCTGATAAAATTCGGAGCACTTGTGGCCAGGTTGATATGGAACCTTTTTACAAAACTTGCAAAGGCGTTGACCCTTGTCCTTGTTATCATGTGCATGATGTTGTGGTGTGTGTTGACGACCTTGATTGAGTTGTCGTAAGATGATACACTCGCTTGCCATATGGCTACCCTTTGGGTGTACAGGACAATTTCCATATTGTCGCTTCTTGTGGTGTGTGCTGTCTTGATGACCCATGTATTGTCTTTTGCGTGAAATAGGTGTAGCAGCATCATGGATATTGATATCCTCCATATACTCGCCCATTGCGCCAATAGCCAATTGAGCAACGGTGTTGATAGAGCATGGCAGGTCAAGTTCGTATTTGGAAGATAAAATAGGCCATATAGTTTCGCGAACAGGCTTCAGCAAGGAGTTCACATAGTTGAAGGTAGTCTGGGGGCTGGGCTCACAATTCGCTTGATAAGCGAGCTCTTGCCACTCCTCCGTATGCAACTTGAGGGACTGACCGGGTCGTTGGAACTTGCGGGATAGCTCAAATTGTTTTCGGTAGATGTATAAGGGGTTGCCATACATGTTCTGTATTTCTCCCTTGGCTTGTTCCCAAGTGTAGCAACGACCGGCAAGACGATGAGTGGCCCACTTGTGTTGTTGCGAATCCAACGTTGTCCAGATCAGTCTTTCCCAATGGCGATCAAGGTTCAGGGAACGGCTTCGTAGCTGGGCCTCAAATGCGCTGAAAAACGCCTGCACCGATTCATGCACATTTTTGCTTGGATCACGCATTGGTCCTCCCTTGATTTGAAGTATTGGCATGTTTGCCGGCACAATTTGATCCTCTTTCTTGTAGTGGTTCTTGATCATTTCTTGCGTACGTTGATATGCCATACATGCCTCTTGAGCTTACTTGTGTTGACGCATTGCTACGTCATGCTCTTCTTTGGACTTGTCTTGTGCCTTCAACAATTCCCTGGCGGTCTGCTCCACCCTTTGGTTGAGTAAAACCAAGATGGTATCCACGTCAGCATGTATAGTGGATGATGCATGCTTGGATTCGTTGCCTTGAGAAGTATCTTGGGACTCTTGAGGTTCTTGTTGGGGTCCTTGGGATTGAGATGCTTGGTTGTCTTGTTGAGGGGTTTGAGGCATGTCTGTGTCTTCTTCACGCTGGTTGTCTTGAGGGGTTTGTTCACGATCATTGTCTTGGTCTTGCCCTTGGTTACTGGATGAAGACCTTGTGGTACGATTTGTCATGGTAGATGGATAGTAGAAAGAATAAGCAATCGGTTTTCAAAGAGAAAAATGTGGTGAATGAAGATGAATGATAAAAAATAAAACAAAGGAACACGAAAAATGAGTCTCTTTGAGATTGATGTTTATTCTGGAGACGATGCTCCAATGCTTTTATATCTTAATTCTAGTATCGGGTGTATAGTATGCGAATAGGAGAAGGATGCTAGAGATGTATGTGGTGATGCATATAAATGTGGTGACATTAGATCATGCGTACGTATGGATAGGAGGTGATCTGCAAAGACCAACGCGTGTCGTCTTGTGTAATGGATAATGTTTAACCGATCATCCGCTATACGTGTGCACCACA